CTAAGCAAGCCCACTCCTCTTGAGAACACCACATTCTTCTTTCCACTAATCACTCGGAATTGCTGCCACTCCTCCCAGCAGCCCTGGAGAAACCAGCTAAGGACAAGGTGAATTAGTCACTTGGCAGATGAAAAAGGGACCCACTGATCATTCTGCTCACGTGATGGAGATGCTTTTTCGGAGAGCCAGGCACAGATTTAATGCTCCCCCTCCTGCTTCCACAGGCTTCAATCCAATCCAGAAAAAAAAAATCCAACAAAAAGCCCTGAATTCCTAAGCATTCAGGGAGTTTAGCAGCACTGTACAGATCTTTTTGGATCTGCCCATCAGTCCCACTGCACGTGATATACTTCAGTGCTGGCCCTCAAAAAGTGCTCACAGCCCTTTTTGCTTTAGACCTTTGGTCTGTGCCCACCAAGGATGAGAGAAATGTAATGCAGGTCTGCAAATCACAGGCCAGAGAAATGGGTCACCTTGATGAAGACTCACACTCCAGCCTGACTTTGAAGGTGTTCCAAATATCAACTGCTTATGCTATGTAGGTTAGAGCCAACCAGTGTGTATTTTGGAAGGTGGCAAGAATAAAAAGCAGAGTGTTCATGGGACCAGGCAGCAGCAACACAAACTGGTTCTAGTTACTGCCAATGCTTTCCAAGAGCCTCCTGCCCCTTGCAAGGCAACTTCACCTCTTCTCACCCTCCACGGTGTCATAGAACTTTAGGGGCTGGGATGAACTTTAGAGATGATCCAGCCCCAACCCCCTCCCACCAGAGCAGGTTGCTCAAGGCTCAGCCAACCTGGCTCTGAACACTGCCAGGGTTGGGGCAGCCACAGCCTCCCTGGGCAACCTGGGACAGTGTCTCACCACCCTCACATGGAAAGATCCTTCCAAATATCCAGCCTAAATTTCCCCTCCTTCAATTTGTGCCCATTGCCCCTTGTCCTGTCCCTACAGCTCCTAACACAGATCCCTCTGCAGCTTCCCTGGAGCCCCTTCAGCTCCTGGAAGGTGCTCTGAGGTCTCCACACAACCTTCTCTTCTCCAGGCTCAACAGCCCCAACTCCCTCAGCCTGTCCTCACGGTGGAGATCTCCAGTCCTCTCAAACAAATTTCCCCTCTTCCAGTTTATGCCATTGCACCTGGTCCTGTCACAGTTAATCATCACCAGTTTCATCCCTTTAACTGCACTGCTTGTCAAGCAAAGCCCCAAACAGTCACACAACACACAGACACAGCAAAAGCAACACAAAGAGAGACTTTGCAGTGCAAAAAAAATAGGTGTCAGGCACATGGGTGTGTGTCAAGGTGCTTCCAACTCACAGCTGGAGGCAACAAGGAGACCAGGGAGGAGCATTACACTCTTTTAGACACTAGGTCAGCTTAGAGGGATTTTCACAAAGACAATACATGGGAGATTAAGGTCAACCAACCCACTCCAGTTAGTTATCATGAAGCCTTAATGGATTTACCAGAAGTTGTACACCTTTCCAGAAAGCTGCTGTCTCTGCCCTTAGACAACCTCACCCAAGATGATCCCCTCACTCTTTTTCTTGCCTATCTTCTTCCCTCCATTCACCTCCCTATTCTTCCTCCAGCAGACCCAGTGGGCAGTCTCTCTGCTAACCATAAAGCTTTCCAACTGCTCTGCAATCCTGGAGCCACACACAGTGTGGCAATCACCTGTCACTGATATGCTATCAAACCACATTTGTTCCTCCCGTGCACCATCAAGCTCTAGGTGGCCACCAACAAATCTCTGAGTAGAACTGGGGAGAAACCTGCCAGGTTTCTATGGAGGAGGCAGAAGTTGGGAGAGATGGGCGAGACAAGACTGCTGGGGAAGGTCTTGGCACACCACGATGGGGAACAGGAAGGAAGTTAGTTTGACAAAAGGCCTTTCAAGGAAGGCAGCAGTGGGTAATGAAATCGAGAACAGAAGGAATTTCTCAAAGGGAAAGGTTTGCAGCTGGGGAACAGTGAACTTGAAGCAAACATTTCCCAGTTGGTTTCAATCCCACATATTGGCACTCCTGCTGGTTTGGGCTGGAGTGGAGTTAACTTTTTTCCCCAGTGGGTAGGATGGGGCTATGTTTAGGATTTGTGCTGAGCACAGGGTTGATAATATAGAAATGTTTTTGTTGTTGCTGAGCAGAGCTCACACAGAGCCAAGGCCTTTGCTGCTTCCCACACTGCCAAGGGAGTTGGGGGTGCATGGGAGGTTGGGAGGAGAGACAACTGGGACAGGTGACCCAACCTGACCAAAGGGATATTCCATACCATAGGACATCATGCTCAGTGTGTAAAGTGGGAGGAAGGAGGAGGAAGGGGAGGATGTTTGGAGTGATGGTGTTTATCTTCCCAAGTCACCATTACACATGATGTGTCCCTGCTCTCCTGGAGGTGCTGAACATCTCCTGCACATGGGGAGCAGTGAATTAATGCCTTCTTTTGCTTTGCTTGTGTGTGCAGCTTTTGAGTTTTTCTAGCTTTCACCCCTTCTAATTCTCTCCCCCATCCCACTGGTGGGCACTGAGAGAGCAGCAGTGTGTGGCTTGGCTGCTGCTGGGGTTAGACCACCACAGCACATTAGGAAATAAAGCCATTTCAAACCATACAGAGCTTTCTGAGAGAAATGGTTGCTTCTTTGCCTGCCAGCACCACACCACACCAGCCACACATCTTCCCCTCTGAGTCACCACTTCTGTTCAAACAGCAGCTCATGATTAGGACATTAAAAATAGACCAGACAGCTGCCAAAGAACTTACCAAACCTGCTCAGCCCACAGCTTTTCCAGAACACACACAGTGGCAAGGCACGTAGGAGCCATCACACCAGCTGAGGGGTTTTTTTGGAGGCTGAATCCCCCAAAACCTGGAATACTCCAGGGAGTTAGAAAGATGAGCCTTCCAGAGCTGCTCCCAGATCCAACCCACATCACTGTGCTGTCAGAATCATGACCCAGTGCAGAGCTCAAGCTGCGCTTTGCTCTGGATCTGGATTAACTGGTTCCTGAGCAGGTACCTGTAATTGCTTTCCTCTCTCCTTTCTCCAGCTTTGCTTGTGGGGATTCAGTGTAGACACCATGCTCCATGGGCTGCTCCGCCCTCTTCATTGCTGTGCCCTTGTAATTCATCTGCAGTTGGCTGGTGTACTTCTCATGCTGCAGAGACACAAACAACAGTTAACACTCCTTCCCCACCAACAGAATTCATAAAACATAGAATTTTAGGGGTTGGAATGGAGTTCAGAGATCATCCAGCCTCAACCCCCTGCCCTGGGCAGGGACACCTCCCACCAGAGCAGGTTGCTCAAGGCTCATCCAGCCTGGCTGTGAACACTGCCAGGGTTGGGGCATCATGCAAAGGCAAATACTGCAGCTGAGTTCTGCAACAAAAAGCATGCATACCTCAGCAGAAGCTACAGAGAGCCAAAAGGCTTTCCAAAACCCCATTTAGAGACCATTAAGAGACAATTCTAGTCCACAAGAAGGTCACGGAGTTAGCTCTGCAAAATAACTAATCAGGAAATCCTTCAAAGGATAAACTGAGAAGAATCAGAACCATTTGGAGCCATTCTCCATGATTCATGTCCCAAAACCCCCTTTAAAGGACCATTAGAAATCATTCCAGGGTACTCATCTGCATTACCTCATTTTTTTCAGCATAGGCAATGGGAATCTGTTTTAATTACTTTTCTCCAAAGCCTCTCTCCAGCTAGGAAAGTGATTCTGCCTTAAACCAGGTTTCATATGAACACAGCAAATGGCTTATTCCAAGTGAGTTAACAAAGGGGTATACCCACCCAGGTTACCCCTGAGTAAGGTCAGTAAATCATTTGCCCAGTTCTAGCTGTTCCACTTCCTCTCCAAGTCCTAAACATGGAACCAGGGCTAAGAAGACTCTGCTAGCCAAGAGCTGATGTATGGCAATGACAGCCCAACCCCAGAGCTGCTTTTCTGCCTTACATAAGAGGATACTTGAGTATTTAAGACAGTTCAGCAGCAGGTAAAACACCTCACTGCTAAGAGAACTGACTGCTCAGCAAGTAAAAATTTGAGCTTGAAGGCAAAAATGAGGTAATACCCAGGAATAAATGAAGCCAGCTTTAGGCTGGTAGAGGAAGTGTGATGGAGTTGGTCTAAGTCACCATGTTCTGCACTTCTGGGAGGGAGTAAGTTCTGCTGTGCTTCACCCACAAGCTCATGTGCTGACTGCTCTTCAATATGTTACAGCTTTAAGTAACCTTTTTTTTTTGTTGTTGGCAGTCATGGAATCCTAGCTAACTTCATCTACATGTTAGCACAGGCATAAGAGAGATCAGAGCTGAGATAACTGGCAAATGCATCTCTCCTCCAAGGAGGGTTTTATCAACTCCAAATCCAAGGAGAGCCTCACATTGTGGAACACTTCACTGCCAGAGTATTTTAATCTCTCACTCTGCTTGACCATTTTCAGAGTACTTAAAAGACATGTTTTAAAGCCACTCTTACCTTTAGTGCTTCTTCTGGGACTTTGTGTTGAATTTGCTCAAGGACATACATGTTTGAATGTAGAGATTTCGTTAAGGAAACGATGAAGGAATTGGACAGAGAAATCTAACAATTAGTCAACAAGATCATAACACCAGAGAAACTGGGTTTTTTCTCAGGGTACTGAAAGCTGCCTGTGCTGCAACCCACCATGGCGTTGCCATGCATGGGGTGCAGGAGGGTGTGCAATCACATTTTCTGGCCATTCATGGCAGTTGAGGGGCAGCAGGTCAGGAAAGCTGGGCAGGAGAAGCCTAGGGGAGCACTAGCAACTCCATGGGGGAGCAACCAGAGCCCCAACTCAATCCACACCCCACTCCTCCCCATCTGCCTGGCAGCTCCAGGCAGATCACCTAGCATCCTGTCCAAGATGAGCCAATTTGGCACACTCAAGGGAGCAGCAGAGCTCAGCTCCCTGCCCCAATGCCTGGTGCTTTCTTGCCCTGACAAGGCCTTTCAGCCACTGCAGTTTTCTGTCTGAAAAGTAAATCAGGTCATGAGCTGCCATGACCTCTTAGGAAGGGAGGAATTCAGATGGCTGAGCCCAGGCAATAATCCTCAGCCACGCTGTATGAGAGCTAAAAAACCCAGCAAGCATCTGGAATGTCATCCTGAACAACCCAATCAGCACAGGGGAGGAAAAAGGGAAGATGGAAAATGTTAGGCTAAAAATAAACCAAGAGATACTGGCCTAGCAGGGAAACTGCACAGCCTGTAAGTGAAACTGTAAATGGAAAAGAGAAATGCTGTGGTGCCACAGGGCACAGCTGGTTCTGAGAGCTCAGGAGGTGCTGCCATGCACACCCAGCTGACTGCAGAGAGCACTGCTAGGGAGAGAGGGGACACAGGAGAGGAGCACACTAACTGCCATAGCAACTGCACTGGAGTAGAAAGATGTCTCTGAAACCTACATTCTTTAAGCTTCCCCTGTTGAGGGTAATAAATTCTGCAATTCATAAGTGCAATCATTCATTGCATACGAACATCCATGTAAGGGCTGCAGGACTAAACACTTCAACTCAGCTGCTCAGTGCTCAGAATTGCCTTCTATAAAAAGTTGAAACCTGTGCCACAGCCCTTAAAACCAACCCACCCTGCAGGCTCTGCCTTAAGCTTCCCCTAGGTTGGAGCTCACAGAAAACCCTCTGTGAGTCTCCTCACACATCCAGAGACCAGAAGGCACATAAAAACCATCCAGGTTGGAGGAGACCTCTAAGATCATCAAGTCCAACCATTAACCTGTCACTGCTGGAACCCCTAAACCCTAAACCAGATCCTCCAGTGCCACATCCAGACACCTCTGAAACACCTCCAGGGATGGTGACTCCAACACCTCCCTGGGCAATATCCCAGGGCCTCAACACCACAACAGGGAAAACATTTCTCCTCACATCCAATCTGATTCTGCCCTGGCTCAGCTCAAGGCCATTCCCTCTATCCTCTCCCTGCAGCCCTGGCAGGACACACATCCCCCACCTCTCTCCAGCCCTGGCAGGAGTTGCAGAGAGCCAGGAGGTCACCCCTGAGCCTTTCTCAAGGCTAACCAAGCCCATGTCCCTCAGCTCTTCTCCATGTGCTGATATAAGACAATATACGGCAGAAGAATGTGGCCTTGGGGTCAAGGATGCACCAAGAGTTTTCCAGTCAAACATTTCCTCCCTCAAATGGTAGAACTTAGTCTGCCTCTATTCTCAGAGATGTCTGGACTGTTTTAACTGACATTTCCCCCCAAAAAAGAAAAAAGAAACGTGGAAAAGACACTTGCTACTTCTAAATTCAGCTTGAGTGGGCAACGTTTGGCAGATAGAAGCAACTCAAAGTGAAAAAAAGTGTTACATTACATGAGAAGGCAGTGAGAGGAACCTCTAATTACCACTATTGCTCTGCAGGCTCAGAAAGGCATCCCAACATCTGTTTACAGCCAGTCATACAGTTACAACAGGATAAAAAGGGAAAGGGATGAAGGCAAAGGTGTTTTGGCAAGACTTGTGGCTCTGTAAACAACGCAATAACTGCAGCCTAACATCCCTTGATAGAGATGAAATTTGCCATTGCTAGAGAGAGATTTACTCTTGCATTTTGTGGCAGAAGCAATTTGCACAGGCAAACTTGTGTCAGTACTGAGTCAAGGGTCTGACCACAAGCCCCACAGCTAAATGTTTAAGGCTAAAGGCCTGAAACTTGTCTGCAGGCAAACACCTGGGTGAGATGATTAACAAAACCATGCAAGTTGGATAGAAGAAAGAGGAGGAAGACGTTAGTTTGTACAAAACCATATATTTGCTCCCCAGCTGGTACCAGCTACAGCTGACACCCAAATCCTTAGCAGGAGACTGAAGAGGCACCACTACAGTCACTACTGCCAGTCAGGGCCTGATTCAACATCCCATGAAGGTAGCAGGCATCATAATTACTATGCTCTCAACAAAGTTCATGATGGAAAAACACAAGCTCATGATCCATCCAAAGGCTCCAGGAGGCAAAACAAACACCTTTACTCACTAGTCACAATTAGCCCTTCATGCAGCACAAAATCCCATCAAAGACCACATCCCATTGCCCCTTCAGAGGAGAAGGATATCATAGCCGAAGCGAATGACATCATTGAGTTTGAGGGTGATGTACTTCTGGTCAGGAATCCTCACATCGTTGACGAACGTCTGCAGGGAAGAAGCACAAGGAATAGGTTTTGATTGAGGGTGTCAAGGTGATGGATCTCAGAGGGATTGGGGCTCCTGAAGAACAGTCATGCCCATCTGACACCTGCACATGTGTGCTAGCACAAAGTCAGCAAGGCGAGGAGCTAAGCTCCCTGGAAAAATCAACACCAGCAAGTACCTCCCATGGGCAAGGTAGAGCACCCCAATTATGCTTCAAAGCAAGGTGCTGTCAAGGGACCTCTAGGGAGATTTACCTTTCCACCGTGAATGCAATTTCAGTCCCTGACTTGAACACGTAAATGAGGTGCCTGAAGTGAGGAACTTCAAATGCTCTGGGCTCTCCTACACCCTTCACCACCAGTGAGAGCAGCAAACGGTGCAACTCCTACTCTTAATTACTGAGCTGGGAATCAGCTTTCTGCTGCATGTCAAACAAGAGAGGTGCAGCCCCAAGGCCTGACAGTTTGAGCAGAAAGTCTGCCACAGAGCAAGGGAAAATGAACATGCACAGGAAAATGGGGAAAAGGTTTGCAGCACCATCACCATGACATCAGAGGCCACACTGGCCAAGACACCAGGTCCCTTTTTCCCATGCTCCAGGCCAAAGAATTCACAGCCCTATAAAAGGTGCAAGAAATGCACTTCACAGGTGGGAACAAATGACTCTGATGTCTCTGCTTTCCCAGGGGACCGACTACGGAACAATTCTCACTGAACAAAGGAGGATCAAATCAAGCACTCATGGACATCTTCCACAAAGGGCAGGGGGCTGGAGCTGGATGATGTCTAAGGTCCAACTCCTAAAATTCCATGATTGTCAGACCAGGAACACACTGCTGAGCCTTTCTCCGCTCACTACAAACACAGCTCCGGTCTGAGGAACAAAAATGATGCTAGAAAATTACTTCCCATGCTTTCACCACTGAGGCAGAGCCTCCTCCTTTTGTCTTTTCACCTCAGTCAAGCTAAACATGCATGGTAAGACCCAGTACTAACCACAGAGGAAAAACAAGTGCTAAAGCAGGAAACTAGAACCTCAGGAGACAAGAGCCCCAGCTTGCGGGCAGTTTCCAGAGGAGCTGGGAAACAGCCCTGTATTTTCAGGATAAAACCAGTGAAGCCAGTTAAAAGGCAAATAATTCCAATTAGCATGGAAGTTTTGAATATTCAAAAAACTCCTAACAGTCACATCTGGAACAGGAATAATCATTGACTGAATTTTCTGCATAACAGAAGTCTGCAAGAATCACAGAATTATGGAACCAACCAGGCTGAAAAAGATCTCCAAGGTCACTGAGTCCAACCCTACCATGGTCACTAGACCATGGCACTAAGTGCCACATCCAGTCTCACCTTGAAAACCTCCAGGGATGGTGAATCCACCACCTCCCTGGGCAGCACATTCCAATGCCTGAGCACTCTCCCCATAAAAAATCTCTTCCTAATAGCCAACCTAACCCTCCCCTGGCAGAGCTTGAGTCTGTGCCCTCTTGTCCTGCTGCTGGTTGCCTGGGAGAAGAGACCAACCCCCACCTGACTCCAACCTCCTGTCAGGGAGTTGCAGAGGGTGATAAGGTCTCCCCTGAGCCTCCTCTTCTCCAGGCTGAACGCCCCCAGCTCCCTCAGCCTCTCCTCATAAAATCCCACTTGGATAGTCACCTATTTGCCCATGGTTAATTCAGGTAAAATAACGCAAGGGAAATGTTTATTGCCCACATAGCCACGACCAGCGAAAACAAACTCCAAATAAAGACTGCAGAACCACCTGAATATTCTAATAGAATCAGAGAATTTTAGGGTTTGGAATGGAGCTTAGAGATGATCCAGCCCCAACCCCTGCCCTGGGCAGGGACACCTCCCACCAGAGCAGGTTGCTCAAGGCTCATCCAACCTGGCTGTGAACACTGCCAGGGTTGGGGCAGCCACAGCCTCCCTGGGCAACCTGGGACAGTATCTCACCACCCTCACAGCAGAAAACCTTTTCCTAATATCTAACCCAAATTTCCCCTCTAATTTATTGTCAAAAACAACACAACACATTGTGACAATTCATCTGAACCACATTATCCAGCAAAGCCATAAAATGCATTGCTGACAACCCAAAGTGAATACAAAATAAAAGGAAATTCTGGAAATGGATTTAAAAATCAAGGTCCTCAAAAGCGAATTCTTTAGTTTCAGGGAGGGAAAACCAGTTTTTATGGCAATTTCCAAATAAGGATCTATGTTTCTTACACGCAAAACGAATTTGCTTTGGCTACAAGAGTTTTTTCCAACAGAAGTGTGTTTGATCAGCTGCAGAAGACAAGGACTGCTGTAACTCCTGTTACTCCACTGCCCCTCTGATTATTATGTTGTACTTAAAAATAGAGGAGAATTAGTGGTACGAGTCTTTCCTCTCTTGCAAACAGGATTTTCATCAGCTATTTCCCCACCATGAGTTAAATACCACAGGTTTTGAAACCAGGGATCCAGCCAGAGCCCAGAGCAGCCACTGGAAATATTCCCATTTCAGCAGGGCTCTGTGCCTTCAGCTATTAGGCTGAGAAGGATTAACACTCATTCTTGCTGTGGTCAGATGCCAGAAGAGGCAGAACAGTCGAGAGCTGTTTTAGCCACTGTTTTTGTGCAAGTTTCTGGGCTCCTCTTGTGGGTCTGTGGTGGTGGTGGTGGAAGAGCTTCTGTTTCTAAGCCCAGAACAATGACTGCAGTAAAACCCCTACTGGGAAGACAATTAAGCGGATCTAGCTTAGACCTGCTCCAGCAGGGGAACAGTTCTGCTGGTATGAAGAAACTGCCAAAATAGAGGCATGCTAGGACATGAGGAGAGTTTCAACTGCGATGGTGGACTTAGACATCACAGGATTCAGGTGGGCAGATGAAGTCCTCACAGAGCTGCCTAACACCACTGCTTGAGTTAGAACCATAGGTGTTGGAGGAGACCTCTAAGACTATCAA